CCACTCTTCCCCATCTCTTCCTGCCCCTTTTCCCCAAACCTCCACACTGCCTCTTTCCAGCTTATACCCTCTCTCACGAGCAACACTGGGAACCAACAGAACACAGCAAGGCAAGCTGAGAGCAGGATGCTCTGCTTCTGGCACCAGGCCCCATGTTAATTCCAGGCTGCCTTGGGCCCTGAATCCCTTGAAGTGTGGGGCCCGCATACAAAGCACCAGGAGTGGGGCAGTTGCCTCAGTCAGTCCTATAGCTGGCACGGCTCTGAAATATAAGCGCAAACACTGGCGGACCAACGCCCATGTTCCAGAATATTGGTCACGCACGAGCACCCATACAACTGCCAACCTTTGGTCAAGAACACTGCTAAAACTTTGGGCTATCCAAGGCTTTTGAATGCCTTGGTAATAGAGTTAAGATTTAATTTACATTACAGCATAAAACTAGGTTGCAACAAAGCCCTAAAATGGTTTGAGCTGGTACACAGCCAGGGTTTTGCCTATCGTCAAGATACTAGATATGCAACTATCCCTCTACCCCAGGAAAAAAGACCTGATTCCTCACATTTACTATCTGGTCATCCTATGATGAATTTATGTGGGAGTGTGAGAGGACTGTCTGAAAAGAGGAATCCAGAGTGAGGGAGGCCTGCCCATTAACATTCATGTTCCATATTGATGTAAATGAATAAACAGTCATATAGGCTTCAAGTGAATCACTGAGGGTATGTCTATCCTACCCCGCTAGTTCGAACTAGAGGGGTAATGTAGGCATACCGCACTTGCAAATGAAGCCTGGGATTTGAATTTCCCGGACTTCATTTGCATAAGCGGGGAGCTGCCATTTTTAAAACCCCGCTGGTTCGAACCCCGTGCAGCGCGGCTACACGGGGCACAAACTAGGTAGTTCGAACTACCGTTACTCCTCGTGAAATGAGGTGTACCTGTAGTTCGGAATAGGAAGCCTAGTTCGAACTACCTAATTCGTGCCCCGTGTAGCCGCGTTGCACGGGGTTCGAACCAGCGGGGTTTTAAAAATGGCAGCTCCCCGCTTATGCAAATGAAGCGCTTATGCAAATGAAGCCCGGGAAATTCAAATCCCGGGCTTCATTTGCAAGTGCGGTATGCCTACATTACCCCGCTAGTTCGAACTAGGAGAGTAGTGTAGACATACCCTTAGAGAGCAGGGGTGGGGAACCTAAGGCCTGAGGGGGCCGCATGTGGCTCCTGGCTTGCCTGATTCCGTACCCAAGCTCAGAGTCTCCCCTTCAGCATTGGGGAGCCTGTGGTGGTGCTCTAGTCCCCCCACTTCTCACTTCTGTGTGGCCCCCATTTGATTTTTCTGCAGGTCAGTGGCCTTCAACCCAAAAAAGGTTCCCCACCCGTGACTTAGAGCTGTATGTGTGTATGGGGGCAAAACTGATCATTATGTCATTTGTCTTGTACCATTTTTTTTTCTTTTTTCATGATTCATTTAGAAAGCCAGATATCCTTCTCTGTGCAGTGCTAACAGCACTGAGTTTTCTTCTCACATTGCACAGCTGTTTCATCAGCTGCCCATATCCCATGACGCAGCAGAAGTGATGCTCATGAACATAATCCTCAGGAGAAAATCTAGGCAGCTGCAGATTAATTTTTTTGTCTCCTTATAAGAGGTTTTAATTTATTATAGTACTCTGAGCTGTGGCACACTTAGAACATAAGAATGGCCAAAATTGGTCAGACCAATCATCCATCTAGCCCACTCTTTGACTGTGGCTGGCACCAGATGCTTTTCATTGGGAGCAAACAGAACAGGGCAGTTTACTGAGTGATCCGGTCCCTTTAATCTTGTCTCAACTTCTAGAAATTTAGAAGTTTAAGGACACTCAGGCTGTGTCTAGATTGCACCCCTTTTCCATAAAAGGGATGCAAATTAGACACAGCGCAATTGCAAATGAAGCGGGGATTTAAATCTTCCCCGCTTTGTTTGCATAAACATGGCTGCTGCTTTTTTCCAGCGCGGGGCTTTGCCGGCAAAAAGCGCCAGTCTAAACGGGGATCTTTCGGAAAATAAAGCCTTTTCTGAAAGATCCATTATTCCCTGAACTCTGTCCCCACTGGCACCCTGTCCCCTGTTGCAGAACCCTGTCCTCTGCCCTCCCAGCGCCCTGTTCCCTCTCCCCTGCCCCCAGCCGCAGAACTCTGTCCCCACAAAATGTATAATTATAAATGCTTCATTGTAGATTTAAATAGCATGAATAAAAAAGACCATTTATTTCATAACTATAAGCATGTGATTTTAATTTTATATATCGCATAATTTAAAAATAAATTGTTTATCAGAGTGTGTAAGTAAGGGTTGGGAATAGCAAGTGATGGACAGGAGAATAGAGAGGGCGGGGCTTCAAGGAAGAGGCGGAGCAGTAGATCTTCACCTGTTCTGAGATTTAAAAAGTGATCTTCGGTGTAAAAAGGTTGGAGACCATTGGTCTATGTAAATTGGTGGAACAAAATTCCAAACACAGAGGTCCTTAAAATGTGTAGTGTGGCTGTATTACTGTTTATTTATTTGGGGTGTACATTTAGTTTGAGCCTCTTTTGGTGTTCTTAAAAAGTTTCCATTGTAGCTTGTAGGCATTTCACAGTTCCTTTTAATTTCCATTTAACTAGTCTTCTCATTTTTGTGTAGATCCTCTTTTGAGGTTAAATACTACAGTGGTGGGCTTCTTTGGAATTTCCCCCCCTTTGAGGATGTTAAATTTAATTATATTATGATTGGTATTACCAAGTGTTTCAACTGTTTTCATGTCTTGAACCATTATGTTATGCATCCCATAAGAGTAAATCAAGAATTGCCTCTCCACTAATGGGTTCGAGGAACTAACTGCCCAAGAAGCAGTCATTAAAGGTGTCTAGAAATTAAATTTCTGCACCCCAGCCTGAGGTTATGTGTTCCCAGTCAATATGAGGACAAATAAAGTCCCCCATTAATTTTAGATATTCTGTTTTTGTTGCCTAATCTCCTTGAGCATTTCAGGGTCACCATCATCATCCTGGTCAGGTAGTTGGTGTGATGTTGGCAGACCAGTTCATGCCAACAACCCTTGGCCCTAGCTGAACAATGGCCAACACATAGTTGGAAGCTTAAATACTAAATAAATTCTTATAGACTTTCTGAAATCATTGTAGGATATATGCACTAATCTCTTTTATAACATCTGCACCCCATATTGCAAGGTGATATTAAGTATTTGCGTTGTAGTCTTCTGTAATTATGTCATGTGGGCTCATCCCACCACCCTGGGAGGAAGGGGATGTGAACCCTAACAAGAAGAAACTGCATCTCTATGCTGCTTGGACTTTGTGAGGGCAAGATTTCCAAGCATTTATTACACTTAGGGGTTTTCTGCACCAGTGTTCTCTCTAAGCTGCGCAGCAGCACAGCTTCACAGATGATTAATCAGTCCTGCCCAGGCATAGAGCTCTGAGCCTCTGACTGGGCAAGGCTGATTAATCATCTCTGAAGCTGTGCTGCCACGTAGCTTAGAGGAACACTGTTCTGCACCATTATGCAATGCAGAATTTTGCAGAAATGAATGTGAGAGCACCATTTCCTTTATTTTCTCCGCAGAAAAGGGCTGGGGAGGATATTGGCCACACCGAGGGGCTGCTGAATCCAGCAGAATGTAGTCCACAATAGAAGACAAGGTGGAGGGGAGAGGGGTGAGAACTGTAGGGCAGGGCCAGCCTTAAGGAAAACGGCACCCCTGGCCTTCCTGGGCATAGTGCTCCTCATTTTACTTGGTTCTCCCCACTCCTGCACCCTCATCCTGTGCCCCCTTTGCCATTAACTCCTGCCCCTAACCTCTCCGTTTTGCCACTTTCACCTCAATCTCTACCGGGGTAGGTAACCTACGGCCTGGGGATTAGATCTGGCCCTGTAGGCTTGGGGCTCCCCACCCAGCATTGGGGAGCCAGTCTGGCGCTCCAGCCCTGTGGCCCTCCTACCCAGACCCCCCCATCCCCATTCCACTTTTCCACCCTCCTGAAAAAGTGAAGAACGGCTCTTGCACAAGAGAGGGTTTTTGCACAAAAAGGAGCTATGTAGATGGCTCTTTTTTGTGCAAAAGCCTCTTGTGCAAAAAGGCCCCTAATTAATTATGCAAATGAAGCATGACAATATACTAATCTGTGCTTCATTTGCATAGGCTTGTGCAAGAGGGATGTAATGCAGACATAGCCTTATTGCCCACCCCTGCTGTGGTAACAGGAGCTGCAAAGGAGAGTCTGACTTACCTGAAGAGAAAGGAAAGGGTTAAGCAATTGGAGATGCACCTAGGGATGGGGTTCTGGCAGTCAGCTAATAAAAATGCAGATAGGAATTTCAAACTGGGAAAGAGGGTTTTTCCTTACTCTCTCCTCTCTCTCCAAACTGATCAGAGCAGTTTCTCCCACGTATTGAGGGAGATAGGCTCTCTCTCCAAGAATGGACTTCTTGAAATGTGTAAGTAGGGAAAAGTTTAGAAGAGTAAGGGCTCTCCGGTCAACATCCCATGGTAACTCAACCTAAGATATGTCAACTCCAGCTATGTTATTCATATAGCTTGGAGCTGCATAGCTCAGGTTGACTTACCATGGTAGTGTAGTTGTAGAATTACTTTAGTAGCTGCTTAGTGACAAAGATACAAATAAAACGTGAAGGAGATAAGCACTTTCTAATCACTGGATTGGTAAAGCACTTGCTGAACAGTTGATGTAATTAAAAAACTTTTAAAAGGCCTTTAAGACTGAAACATCAATGATCTCTCATGTTTCAGGTGATTGTTTTTTGTTGTTGTTTTAGTCCAGATGTACTGATTTATTTAGTAAAATATTTAGGGTCAAGAAACAATGATTTTTTATTAACATTTCCCTGAAAAGAATATGAGAGACCAAATTGCATCTTCATCAGGTGAAAGAAAATTTCATTATTAAAACCTGAAAATTACTTGGAATAACCAATTCATTAAAATAGAGTTATGGTGGCAATCTAGAACATATTGAATCACGGCTCCCAAAAAAAGTGAAGTAAAGTTCTACAAGTTCCAACAATTCCTTTATTTAGGCTTGTATATTATTATTTCTTCCAACAGTGTGGCACAAGTTCGTTGAGGGCAAACTGGAATAGAACAAGATAAACAAATGGTAAGACTGAATGATGTCTCTTGGTTGATGAAGTAGGACAAAAATATGCATACAGCCTTAAAGCCCTTTCAATCAGTGTATATATATTTGGGTTCTTGAAAATGATAGTCTATAAAGATTAGATTTTAATCTATAAATAATACATACCAAAAAGACTGTTTAAAATAACACAGACTTCAAAGTCTAGAATTTTAGAAACACCACAATTAACATTGCTTGTACAACCTTTGTTCAGCACCCTTGTGCATATTCATCATGATACAATCTTTAATCACAGCATCATACTCTTTCCATAGGACCTTTGCTTCATTCAATGGAAGCACAGTGTACAATTCAAGTATGAACCAAATACCTTATAAAAACTCTTCCAAAACAGGCCTAGAAAATATTTGCATAGATTGAAACACTACAAACAGATTTATCCTTTAATAACTCAGAATGACAATGTAAAAGACAGTACACAATTACTTTAGTTTCACGCTCATTTGCAAGTCAACTCTTTGACCACAGGAATGGCATCACTGCCAAAAATTACTCCCTGTAGCCCTACTCCTGTATTTGACTCTGCAATAAAGTTAATGGATCTTTGTGCAGGTGCAGGGCCTATCCCTGTAGAAACAAGTTTCAGGATTAGGGCCCAAATTAATATACAATCCTATTAAACCATAAACAAAAGCACCATTTAAAAAGTGAAACTGTTTCTATTCAAACATCAATAATACTTCATTAACTGGCCACTTTCAAGTTACTTAGTGCAGTAAAAGAAGCTATTTAAGTACAGTATATTGATTTAACCATTTTAAATAGAAAATTAGAATTAACAACAGCTTGACTAAATAGTATTTCAATTGCAAAGCCAGTACTAGGCTAACGAAGTTGTTTTGTTTTCTTTTTTAATGGACTAAAACTTGTGCTCTAGGTGTATAAATGTGGATGACTGCGCAGACCAACCTGCAACATCAAGGCCTTATTGAATGTTTCAAGAGTACATATTTTGTAAGATTGTATTGTATATCTGAAATGAGAGGGGACTAAAGTTATATTAGTAGGCATATCTTGACTATGATGGAAATGTTCATATCTTTCTGCATTAAAGGGGCTCACCCAGCTGCAGACAAATCATTTCATGATTTTAGTGATGTTTTTGGACCCCGATTATTCCTGAGTTCCTTGGTACCACTGGAAGAAAAAAAATCTGTTGTATTTGCACCTGTAAAGGCTATTGTGATGTAAATTTTGCTGTACTTATCCATGCATTTTTAACTGTGGGTGGCTCACTAAAATATGCTCTATGGCAAGTTAGTTCCTGAGTGGATTTCAAGGCTATATAGCCTATGCAGAATTCAGCTAATCTTAAAGCTCAGTGGACATCCATGAGTACACAACATTATTTTCTGTACAAGAATTGGGAATACATATAAGCTACGTCTACACTGGCACCCTTTTCCGGAAATGCTTAAAACGGAACAGTTTTCCGTTAAGTATTTCCGGAAAAAGCACGTCTACATTGGCAGGATGCTTTTCCGGAAAAGCACTTTTCCGGAAAAGCGTCCAGGCCAATGTAGACGTGCGTTTCCGCAAAAAAGCCCCAATCGTCATTTTCACGATCGGGGCTTTTTTGCGGAAAAGACTACTGTGCTGTCTACACTGGCCCTTTTCCGGAACATTTTTTCCGGAAAAGGACTTTTGCCCGAACGGGAGCAGCATAGTTTTTCCGGAAAAACACTGACAATTTTACAGTAGATCATCAGTGCTTTTCCGGAAAAGCAAGCGGCCAGTGTAGACAGCTGGCAAGTTATTCCGGAAAAGCGGCTGTTTTTCCGGAATAAGTAGCCAGTGTAGACATAGCCATACAGTTTAGGTTATCCAATAATCAGCAAAACCCATCAAATAATTTTGTAGTTATGTATTTCTGCTCCTCATATAATTAAAAATATATATTTTTAGACTAAGTTAGGAAATCAGTAGTTTATTCACAAACATCCAGTCTTGTAAATTGGCTTGACAGTATTCAATTTAAATCACTGGTTTTTGTAAATGTTGATTTTGCCTGACATGTAAAAATCAACAGGGACAAAATTAAGTGCAGCCTCCCCTGTCATCTAGCACCTACTGGGATCAGGCAACACTGGACCTGTGGCCATGCAGGGAACCCTATGCAGCTGCACTATCATGGCTCCACTCCCGCATGGTGGGAGCTGCACCTGCACAGGAGCCATTCAGTAGGAAGGTGGCTTTACCCATAGCTGAGTGGTTATTGTCTTCCTCACAGCTTTTGCCATGGGACACTGCCATGAGGCCAGGACTCTAACCTCCCCAGCACCTTCTGCCCGTGTGTCTTAGGGTCCTTTGGCCTCCCAGGGAGCTCTCTGCAGCTCACTGTTAATAATGTGAGTCCCTTTGCTGTAAGAGCTGCTCTAACCGTAAACCTCCCTTAAATCCCCCACAACTGTAAAAATTAAAAACCTGTTATGAGTTTTCTATTTAAGAATCATTGTCAAAGTTACAAAAAATAAAAGTTCTGCCAAACTAACTTGTAAACTTGCTATGTAATGCCAATTACACATACACAGTGAAAAAGATCAATATAGGTAAATTCCATTTCCATAAACCTTTTAGTTCAACACTTGCTGTTGGTTAAATCCCCTGGTGGAGTATGGTAATGACATGCTCAGTATCTCTTAACTTTCCAAACCTTCCTCCTCTTCTCTCCCCTCTCCCCCCGTTCCATTTGTTTTTTCTCCTAAGGGATTTTATGCTCACAAAACATTCTGAATAAATGTAGTTGCACTATATAAAAATGCATGCATGAAACATTTTATTATGCAGTGGGGACTATGATAAATCCATTAGAATGAGTACTGAAATTTTACCTGTCAACTTTCTGCCCTCACTTAGACCTTTGCAAACCCAATGAGCCAGAGGACAGAATCTGGCTCTCCATGGTTCTCTTTTAGTAACTGAGAAATAGGAACCTTTAACTGAACTAGCTAGAAATATGATTTTAGAAAAAACAATTCTAAAGTTCAAGGTATCCTTGTCTACCCACCCAAGAAATATACTTATTTACCACCCAGTAACTGTATTAGTATGTGCTGCATACAAATGGCAGCAAGTCAGCCTGGTGGCAGCAGAAAGCTGATTAGAGCAGGACATGAATCTAGGACAGGAATCTGGATATAACAAGTGGATTTAAAAAGTGAATGGTCAACTTAGGCCTATATTGAAAAAGCTAAAAAGAGTTGGTTGTGGAAAGAATAGAAATGTAGCTTGCTTTAAATAATCTTAATCACTACCTTTATATCTTGGAAATCAACAGTCCAGCACCTCCCACTCCAGAGATTTTTTTAAAATTTAAATTAGAGACAGGCACATAATTCATCCATTACAATCAGGCATCACAGGACCTGTGGCCATGCTGCAAAAATTAACAAAGATATTCCATTGCACATGTGACAAAGCAGATAAGATGGTGGTGGTAAGTCAAAGCTGCTCTGCCAGTCTGTGCTCAAGAAATACTTCAGACCTCATTTGTCCACATCAGGAAACAAGGCAGCCCCAAAAGATTATGGAACATAGTAAGACAGCAGAAAAGTAAGAGTTATCCTTTAGTATTCTCCTGTTTGTCTTCAGATTGCCGTCCCTATATTTATGACCACTATGCATTTATTATTTGTTTTTTATCCGCAATGAACTTTTCCTTGAAAGTGCCCAATAGCCACTATATTACCTTGTGTTGTATACATTTGGGCTGTGTCTATACTGCACCCCTTTTCCGGAAAAGGGATGCAGATTAGACCAGTCGGAATTGCAAATCCGCGGGGGATTTAAATATCCCCCACGGCATTTGCATTTTCATGGCTGCTGCTTTTTTCCGGTTTGGGGATAAGCCGGAGAAAAGTGCCAGTCTAGACGCGATTCTCCGGAAAATAAGCCCTTTTCTGGAGGATTTCTTATTCCTACTTTCCTTGAATAAGTATCCCCAAGCCGGAAAAAAGCGGCAGCCATGTAAATGCCGCGGGGGATATTTAAATCCCCTGCGGATTTGCAATTCCGACTGGTCTAATCTGCATCCCTTTTCCAGAAAAGGGGTGCAGTGTAGACACAGTCTTGGTGTGGGCAGGCCCAGGGCACAGTGGTAAAAACACCAACAGTCAATCAACACTAATGTCCCTGCCATTGTTATCAAGGGTGAAATTGCATTGGTGCTATAGTAACAGTGGGAGAATTCAAGAGGAAAAGGTGCAGACAGGACTGCTAAGTCCAAGCAAAACTGGTTCTTGTAGATGTATCTTTTGTCTTGATAGTGAAGAAGAACTCATGAATAGAGCTCTTCACAGATACAAAATTTGTACCCTCATTCAATCTGCAAATAAGGTCCACATGTATCTATGGATTTTCAGGGCTCTTCTCACGAACATTCATCTTGTTGCTAACTTCACCTGTAGGTAACATCCATCAGAATAAAAAACTATTTTGCATTCACATAGAACTACTTATTCTAACATACTCAAAGAGCTTAAAAAGTTTCAAGGAACTATAAAGTGGTTCCATCTCTGGAATGCAATCCAGCATGAATTCTGTGCTACTGAAAGCAAACCAATAGCTAGGAAGAGAAATAAAGTATTATTTTCTCTACTGAAAATAAAGTTTGAGTGAGAAAAATTTGATGAGGCTAATCCTGCTTTCTATGAAAGTGAATTAAAACTTTAATAACTACATGTATAATGCCGGCAGGTAGAACCAAACCTAGGACCTCTGGAGCTTAGTGCATGAGCTTCTACAGCTTAAGTTAAAAGCCAGCTAGCTCTCAACTAAGGTTGTAGAATACTCATTCTCTCTCTTATAAGTGGTCTTCTAAGTGCCACTGCATGGGACAAGTACATCACACCCAGAAAGTGTGTGGGTTACATAGGTAGCCAAGACCTCTGTGGAAAGTCTCAGCATAAAGGTGCTTCTTCCACCAGCACAATTACCCCTAGAAATATGCCCAGTCCCAAATCTCCTGCCCCACCTTGAGCCTCCCCACACCCTCAAGTCCCCCGCCCTACTCCAAAGATTACACCCCCAGCCCAGAGCCTGTACCTCCTCCTGCACACCAACCTCCATCCCAGAGCCCTTCTCCAAACCTGGAGCCCTGCCTTTGTGCACCCCTAACCCTTCATACCTAGCCCCATCGCAGAGCTTACACCTCCAGCCAGAATCCTTATACACCAACCCTCTGTCATAGCCACAAGCCCCTCAACCCCAGCCATTCCCAGGAGCCTGCAACCAGAGCCCACACTCCTGCACCCTAACCCTCTGCCCCAAGCCTGAGACCTCTCCCACATTCAGAACTCCTTGTCCTACCCCGACCACATAAACTTTGCCATGTGCATGAATATGAAGGTGATGTATCGTGCATCAGAAAATTCATTCCACTCCAGGGTGGAAAAGAATAGCGGGCACATTGCTCCTTCCTCGTCCTAGAATTTTATAAGATGTTGCTAATTAAAACCAGTTCGATTCCCACTTTGATTTCTTCCCTGAAACAGTTAAAGCCTGTTTTCCATACCATCTTAACCCAAGAATCTTAGTTATTTTTCAAGTCTTGTATTGTGTAAACTATTATATGCTAGAACTACCCCAAAATGAAGCAGAGAAAGTAAGGGGACTATCAAAATGACCTCATTTAAAATAGAAATTATGTATATAACTGAATTTTAAACTTTGCTAAATAGTATCTCTGACTAGTCCCACAAATGTGAATTAGTATACCCAATCTACTATTTGTTCCTTCAGCCAAAAGAAGTCTTAAAGGCCCTCTAAGTTCCATTCTGCAACAGTTTTTATGCATAAGATGATCTCAAAAGTGCTGAAAAAAGTGAAAGAAAACAGACTGTGGCACCTCTGGAAACAGTTATGTCTGGAGGATAGAATTGACAACACCTCAGTCTTAGAATGGAAACCACAGAAGAAAAATAGCAAATTTTTATTTAAGTTTAGTGGAACTATTAATTGGTATTTCAGAAGAAAACATTCAACAAAAATAGCAGTTCAAGTTTTAGTAGCTGAAGAAGCCATTCCCCGCCTCGGAGATCAAGGCAGGTGAGTACAACACGCTTTCAAAACTTTCAAGTATC